ATAAAGGATTAACAGCTTTATGTATGGTAATGGAGGAAGGCAGACTAATTAGTTTTGATAAAATGAAAGATAAATATTCATTAGAAACACAGGATTTTTATAGATATCTACAGACGAGGCATTTTGTCAACAAAAAGATAAAAGCTAAGGCTGAACTAAGTAAACAGCTGCTAGAAGTATTTAAAAGAGCATACAGTTCAAATAAAGACAGAGGTATTATAGGTGACCTCTATAAAGGATTGACAAATATGAAATTACACTTGACTTTATATATTAAAACAAAATGGGAAATGGAGGGAGGAAGAGTGGACAACAATATGGGCATATCAATGGACATGTAGCAGCTCACAGAGCTGGCGGGAATTTGGGTGGAAAAGCCTGATAAGATATTTTATTACACCTCACCAAAAATCTCATTATGAAGGTAACCCTCCCACTTGCTGGAGAAATTGTGGAAATACAAATACAAAGAACGATAAATACTTGTTTAATATTTTACTGGCAGCAGGAAAAAAAGCCATCACAAAAAAAGGGCTTTCTTCAGAGAGCCCAGCTATGAACATGTGGATGAACATCACAGTGGACATTTACAGGATGGAGAAAATGACAGCAGATGTGAACTACAAGAGGGACCTGTTTGTATCATGATGGAAGAAATGGATGGACTACATTAGAAAACGCAGGCCAGTTTTTGATTTTGACGGTGTTAACTACTAGAAGACTAGAGGATATATTAGTTATATTAATGGAAACAAAAACACACTCCCTACTTGCTTTTTGCTTTGCTTCTTTTTCTATTTTCTTTCTTTCTTTCTTTCTTTTCTTCTTTCTTTCTTTCTTTCTTTTCTTCTTTCTTTCTTTCTTTCTTTCTTTCTTCTTTCATTCCTTTTGTATGGATATTTTAGTTGTTTAAATACAGAAAAAAGAAAAATACATGTAGTGACAAATTGTTGAAGTTGATGGTATGGTACAGTGATTCCTAAATGTCAATTTAAAAAAATAATAATAAAAAAAATACGCATTTTATTTCAAGTTAATCATTTCAGCTGAGTGCACTCTCTGTGTTGCTGTTTATTTCAAAGTGATCAAACAGCTCTGAAACTTTAAGTTGGATTTGTTTAAACACTAAATATTATGCACTTTAGTATGTTGGCAGATTTCAGTGAATAATTTTTATTGACTGATAGATAGTGATGTGTGCTCTGTTTTCCAATGGCTGCAATTCCAGCAGTGTAAAAGAGACTTTGTCCCGGTCCTGACCCAGAGTTTTATATAAGACCCAAAATATCCTTCCTTCTGAGGAATTCAGTTTCCTTCCTCCTGGGACACTTGTGGACATGCTCTACCTTGTTATTTCATTATGAATGGTAAAAATAAAAGTCCATCAGACGTGAAGTCGTTTTATGTCATTTATTTTGGCACGTTTCATTACAACACTTGGTGGACTAGTACAGCAGCAGGTACAGGAGTTTGTAGTGTCTTTGATCTCCGCTGACACCGGTCAGAGGGAGCCACAGTGACTCTAGTGTGGCCGAGGTGTACCCAGTCATGATCACACTGCTTTGTCTAAAAAATGAAGATGTTGTTTCCATTACCTAAGTTTAAACAGCCCTGCAGTCTGTACTGGGGTGACAGCTGAATGTGTGCCTGAAGTACAATTATAGCATCCAGTCACTATCACATTGTTGCATTTCAATTTTTTTTAAAGTTTACAAATGTTGTTTGATTCTAGCTATGCTGCTACATAGCTACAACTAAGATAAGCGTGAGATCCAAGTTGTGCAGTGTACCAGGAGCACTAAGACATGCAACTACAATTGTTAATGTGTCATAATTATAAGTAAATATCTGGACCTTGTGTATTTAAACATGCAGGATCCATACAGAACCACTACCCGTCTCCCCACTAGGTAGATGAGATCACAACCTGGTCCTGTCAACACCTCTGTATAGCCCCTTCTTTATTAGTTCTTACTCAGATCGACTCACCACGGCTCACCACAACTCGACTTAGATCGACTGGTTTTCTATTACAATTAAGTACCACCTAATGTACATAGTTATTGTCATAGCAACCCAGTCAAGCATCGTGTATTTAATATGCAACAATAGGTTTTCAATAGGTTTAGTACTGAACCCCGAGTCTGCTGCTGGAAAAGGTACCAACGCTACGGAAGACATCATGTTTAGTGCTGGCACCAAAGAAAGCCATCCCTTCCGGCCTTAATGACTTCAGACTACTTGCCTTGATGTCACATGTCATGAAGCTGTGTAGCCATTAACAGGTTTCGCGACCACACAGTTGCACTCCTGTAGCAGATCGTACATTATTCCCAGTTGCATGTGTTTCACCACCTCCACCTTGCACAAGTGGCTTACAAAGATGACACTGACTAAGAACACAGGTTGGCAAGGTTAAAACATATCAGAGTAAAATTCTAACAATGATAGTTACAATTTACAATTAGAATGTCAGCATTACTGAGGAACACATGCATACCTACAGCTACAATGGATTGGAGACTACCTGCTTTTTTCTTCACTTTTTAATAAAATCCATCCTGAACCTGTCGGTGAGTTTATGGTGCAAAAACCAAACAGTGGCCAAAACAGTCTGAGGTTTACACTGTAAAAGGCATTTAATTCAATAAGGAAAGATCACTTGGAAGAATTTAATGTGATTTATTGAGATTGAGAAATTCATGTAGATGGAATCCCAGCAGTGATTTAGTACAGGACCCTCCGGAGTCAAGAACGCTGTTGTTTGAGACGAAGAAGATAGAGGCTTGAATAGAGCTCTAGCTGAGGTGTTTGAAGGGGAGAATGTGCGGAGCCCAGATTTAAACCTTGCAAAGCGAGTTTGATTGATGATTGGACCAGAGTGATGATGTCAGTATTGAGATCGACAGTGTGGGAAAGCAGTAGAGGTGTAAACCGAAAAGCAGTCAAACACCCAGGAAAGCAGGTAGATGAGTGATTACAGATCTTCCTTATTGAACTTAATCATAAGCTTCATTATTGTTTAAAGAGGTTCATATGGTTGTGACTAACCACCTAGTAATGTTTAACACTAATATTTTCACTATTGTGTGTGAAGTGTTAGAACATTTCCTCTGTGTGATCAGTAACTAAATATGAACTACATATGCCTTGTATATGTCTTCACTCTTTTGTTCTAGGACAGATTTCTGACCCTGAGATGATGGTATCTGGAGCCAAATTAAGCCAGTCTGAGAAGGAACTGATTCTGTCTCATCCTGGGACTGTCCCACGTGGTTCCCCCATGACGTACCACTGTCCATCCATATGTCCAGTGACCTCATCCTGTACCACATGGCTCCACAGTTCCCAGACTTTTCTTTGATGCAGCACTTTTTCAGAGGTCCATTTTGCCCAAGTTTACATCTGTTTATGCTTCTCTACTCCCTTCAAGTTTGACTACAAATGTCCTGGGAAATTCAGAAGGGAACCAGGCAGCAGTCTGTATGTCTTGTATGGGCACGGCAACGCAAAGCATGGCTGACTTCCAGTCATTTTCAGGAGCTATGCTGTTGCCACAAGGGGTATGAGGAGCAGGATTCTGCAGTAAAGACCCCAGCTGCTGAGATGTCCGTTTTGATTTTATTTGCATGATTTGTATTTTTAATATTTGTTTTGTAGTGTTTTAATCCACTGTGGACTGGCTGGATAACGGACAAACTGGTTAACACCTGTTGAGGTGTGGGTGTGCCCTGAGGTGGCCTATCAGCTGCTGAAAGGACCTGTTAAAAAAACTGTCCGAGCACAAAAAAGGGATGAGGGCCCAGACTCTAGAAAGTAGGAGCACGTATAAGCCAGGTGAGAGAGAGAGAAGGACATGCTGCCTGATCACCAGGTGAAAAGGCTTGCGTGAAGATGGGTCCATCAACACGGCACGGCCATCGAGCAGTGGGAAACAACGATCGACACCAGGGCAGAGGT